CGTCGACTTCGCGGTGGACTACTTCACCCGCCTGCGCGAGGCCCGCTCCCAAGCCTCCACCCCGCCCGCCGCCCCTCCTTCCGGCTCCCAGGGTCTAGAAGAGCCCGGCCCTGGCCTTGTCGCCGACGCGGTCGCGGACAGCGAGTCGGAGGACGACGAGGACTTGGACGGTAGGCGGCGGGCTGGGCCGAGGTTCGCGGTGGGGGGCGGAGGGAGCGGTGCCGGGGGTCTCTAAAGGTCCAGAGGGGGCTGCGGGGGCCCAGGCCAGCAACCCTGGGCCGGGACCTGGAGCCCTCGAGCGAGTTTGCGGGATTCCGCGAGCACCCGGCGTGAGCCCCGCGTGCGCCACTTCTAAACTGAGCTCCGCGGTCCTGCGAGCCCTGGAGCGCATCGAGCGTGTTGTCAGATTCAGCCGTGAGGGAAACGTGCGCGCTTTCGGCCCGCGTGGTGGCGCGGAGCCCGAGGGGCGTGGAGCCCGCCGGCGTCTCGCCTCTGCTGGAGACCCTTCGCCCAGTTTTGTTCCGAAGAGAAGAACATTCACATCTACTGACTCGTATTTCGTAACCAGGACGGTAACTTTGTTTGGAAATAATTCATTTTGTGAAAAGTTATTGTGAAAAACTTTAAGCATAGACAAAAATCGAGAGAAAAGGTGAAGTGAACCCCCGTATGCCATCGCCCACATCCCACAGTTGAAATATGTCATAAATATTTAAGCGATACCTTTTTTTTTCCTTCTTTGCTGAGATATTTTCAATCAAATCCCAGCATTTCACCCTTGACACTTGAATATTCATTTCTTAAAATATGCATCCTGGGAATGAATATATATATGTATACATATTTATTTAATTTGGCTAAATGATTGGATCAGATTTGGTGAGGGGAAACAACTCTTTTTTAGCTAATGGGGTGCAGGAAAAAAGATAGTAACACTTTCTACATCTGATTTAAGCGAGGTTTTCAAAAAGCAATTCCGTTTTCCTTGGTTGCTTAAACATAGGCTTTGTCAATTTCACAATAGAATTACCCTACTTTTGTACAGCCAAAATTTAACAAAACAATAAAAACATTCAAGAGACAAAGTTAGAGACTTAGTGTTATTAGATCATACTGAAGACAAAACAAAGCAAAACAAACCACCTAGTTCTGAGTTGAATCCACATTTAAGTCAGGCTGGTAAGGAGTTAATTATTGGTGATTGCTGTTGGAAGTTGTAAGCTTCAGCGATCTGGACAACTTCCCTAAGTTTATTCTTGCTAAGAATGGAAATTGCTCTTCCCTGTTTCCCTTGACTTAATGTACATTAAATTACGGTTTTTTTCACCTTAACCCTGGAAATGAGAAATATTTTCAGATCTCTGCCACAGATTTGCTTTGTGGTCTAAGCCAACTTGTGGAACCTGTTTGATTTCAGATTTACTTATCTTTAAAATGGGGATAGTGATAACAATCTTTCAGGGATAAATGTGTTTTTAAAAGCTTTATTTCAGGAGTGAGTCCTACATTTGTTCCACTGTCATAACTATAAATCACAAAGCTGTAACCTGCTTTGTGACAATTTTTATTTACACAAAGCATTAGTATTTTAGCAGTTAGTCTCGGGTAAGTAAAATGGAATTTACAAGTTTTGTGCAAGTTTTGTGTTATGTCTTCATTCTTTGTCATCTTTAATATCTTTTTCAAAATTGAGTTGACTTCAGTCTTTATAACCTTGTGCATTGTTTTATTGGTATTTAAATATTTTTATATCTCTTAAGTGGCTGTGTTATGTGTAATTATAGAAATCAACACAAGGTGAACTTGCATTTACAGATAATAAACTAAAAATACACTGCGCACAGTGAGATACCACTTCACACCCATTAGGATGGCTATTGTGAAAAAAATTCAGAAAACAGAAAGTGTTAGTGAGGATTTAGAGGAGTTGGAACCCTTGCTCATCGCTGGTAAATATATAAAATGATCTGGCTGCTGTGGAAAACAGTTTGGTGGTTCCTCAAAAAGTTAAACATAAAATTACCGTGTGATCAAGCAATTCCACTGCTATGTATAAAGCCAAAAGAATTGAAAGCAGAGAGTCAAACAGATACTTGTATGCCAATGTTCATTGCAGCATTATTCTGTATAGCTAAAAGATAGAAACAACCCTGAGTGTCCCATTGACGATGAGATAAACAAAATGTAGTATACACATACAATGGAACACTATCCTTAAAAAGGAAAAAAATTCTAAATAACGTGGATGAACCTTGACAATATTATCCTAGTGCAATATGCTAGGACACAAAAGGACAAATACTTTTATGATTCCACTTATATGAGGAACCTAGAATGGGCACATTTATAGAGATAGAAAGTAGAGTAGAGATTACAAGGGGCTGGGAGAGTGGATGGTGGGGAGTTACTGTTTAATGGGGGCAGAGTTTCTGTTTGGAAGGATGACAAAGTTCTGAAATTGGATCGGGGTGATAGTTGCACAACACTGTGAATGTACTTAATGCCATGAATTGTACATTGAAATGGTTAAAATAACTTTTATGTATATGTTACCACAATTTTAAAGTAGACAAGAAAAGAAATAACATTGCATATCCAGTGATTAGGAACATTAGGATAATGAGCCTATAATACCTAAAATTAAAAATAGAATATGTAGTGTTAGAGCTGTATGTATCAAAGAGACTTTGTTTAGTAAGGTCCTAACCACCAATTCAGTTTATAAAATTGTATGCTATTAGAAACACTCAAAAACTTTATTAACTGTTACTGATTTGTTTTAATAACAGTTTTGATGTCAAACAGCACACCAAGTGTGAAGTATTTAATGAGTATTTAATTCTTGGGAAAGCCTGAAGAGTTCACACTTATTAATAAGATACTCTAAGTACATCCTCTTAAGAACAATAAATTGACATCCAGACTTGATTCACTTCTGTAATTACCATAAAACATTTATACTTGTGGGTCTCCTAGCATTTTTTGTTTGGTAATAGCTGTATGGAGATATAATTCATGTACCATATAATTTACCCATTTAAAGTATATAATTGGGCAGTTTTAGTATATTTACGTATGTGTGCAACCATCACCATAATCAATTTTAGAACATTTTCATCACCCCAGAAAGAAACCCCAAGTACTTTAACCATCAACTGCTGATACCCCTATTCCACTCAGTCCCAGGCAACCACTTATGTGCTTTCTGTTTCTGTGGATTTGCTTATCCTGGCCATTTTATATAAGTGGAATCATAAAATATGTGGGTTTTTTGCTTCTAGCTTCTTTTCACTTAGCCTAATGTTTTCAGAGTTCATCAATATTATAGCATTTATTAGTACTTACTCCTTTTTATTGCTGAATTCTGTTCCATTGTATGGATCTACCACATTTTTTTTATCCATTCAAAAGTTGATGGACATTTAGGTTGTTTCCACTTTTTGACTATTATGAATAATGCTTCTATGAACATTCATATGTACAAGTTTTTGTGTGGACATTGCATTTATCTTTGGTATGTACCTAGGACTAGAATTGTTGCAACGTATGGTGACTCATATTTAATCTTTTGAGAAGCTGCAAGACTGTTTTCCAAAGGTGGCTGCATCATTTTACATTCTAACACATCAGTGTATTGAGGGTTCTGGTTCCTCCACGTCCTTGTCAACACTTATTATCTTTTTTTATAGTCAACCTAGTGGGTAGAAAGTAATACCTCGCTGTAGTTTTGCTTTGTAGTTCGCTAATGATATTGAGCATCGTTCCATGTGTTTGTGGGTCGTTTGTGTATCTTTGGAGAAATGTCTGTTCAAGTCCTTTGCCCATTTTTAAATTGGTTTATGTATTTATTATTGAGTTGTAAGAGTTCTTTGTAAATTCTAAACAAGTCCTTAATCAGCTATATGAGTTTATTTTCTCTCATTTAATGGGTTATCGTTTCACTTTTTTGATACTGTCTTTTGAAGCACAAAAGTTTTTAATTTTGATGAAGTCCAAGGTATCATTTTCTTTTGTTGTTTGTGCTTAAGTGTCATATTTAAGAAACCATTGCCAAATCCAAGGTCATAAAGATTAACCTCTATGTTTTCTTCTAAGAGGTTTTTTTTTTGTTAGTTTTAGCTCTTACATTTAAGTCATGGTACTTTTTCTTTTTGTTTAAGAAGTGAGGTACTTCATTCTCTTACATGTGAATATCTAGTTGTTCCAGCACCACTTATTAAAAAGGCTTCTTTCACTGTTTAATTCTTTTGGTACTATTGTTGAAAATGAATTGATTGTAAATGTGAGAGTCTCTTTTGGACTCTCAATTCTATTCCATTCATCTATGTATCTGTCCATATGCCACTACTACACTGTTTGATTCCTGTAGATTTGTAGTAGTTTTGGAATGAAGAAGTATAATTTCTCCAGCTTTGTTCTTTTTGAAAATTGTTTTGGCTGTTTACATTTCCTTTGCATTTCTATATGAATTTTAGGATTAGCTTGTCAATTTCTATAAAGATGCCAACTGGGATTTTGATTGGAATTGCATTGACTTTGTAGATTAATTTGGAGAGTACTGCCTCCTAACAATGTTAAGTCCTCTGACCTATGAATATGGGATGTCTTTCCATTTATTTAGATCTTCTATAATTTCTAAATTAAAGAACAGTGTTTTATAGTTTTCAGAGTATAGGTTTTGCATTTCTTTTGTTAAATTTATTCCTGAGTGATTTATTTCTTTGATGTGATTGTAAAGAGAATTGTTTCCTTAATTTCATTTTCAGATTGCTCATTGCAAGTGTATAGAAATACATTTAATTTTTAAAATATTGATCTTGTGTCTTGCATCCTTGCTGAGCTTGTTAATTAGATCTATAGTTTTTAGTGGATTCCTTAGGATATTTGTCCCACATTGCATGAATTGGTCCAAATTGCATGAGTTGGTCCAAATTGAATTAGCTGAACTTTTTTGGAAGTTGCTTAATAATAATATTCCTGCAGTTCACATATCTCTCAGCAGGATTTTGGCACTGTTGAACCAACCCCTTTGAAACTCTCTCCTTCCTTGGCATTTGTGTCTTCATTCCCCTGGGCCTTTATCCACCACTTGGCATCCTCTCTGCCCTTTAAATGCTTTTTGATGATCCCTAGAATTTAGTTTGTTACCATTTCTCCCTCAGTGAGAAAT